AATCGAGTCATTACGCGGGCGAGGCTTTGTCCGCATCGTGGTGATATTTAGGCCATTACTGAGGTTCGTCGTCGTCGTTGTCGTCGTTGTTGTTGTTGTTTATCTACGAGAGGAAACCCACGCAGAACATGGGGAGGTCATAGAAAACGTCTCTCGCACACGCAAAGGTGCCCAACGGCAGACATCGAACCCAGGAACCTTTCAAGCTGCACGCGGCACGAGTGTTCACCGCTACGCTGCCCCGCTCCTCCCTGCCTCCCAAGTTGGTTTTAAAAAAAAAAATTATAATTATTATTATTAACTCTTGAATATCTCGATTACTTGCTCACGAAGACTCCAAATCAACGGGTGTCCGTGCAACGGTCTCGCTGCGGAGGTGTGACAGCAGTTGGGCAGCCAGGTGGATCGCTGGGGTGACAGCAAGGTGGATCGCTGGGGTGACAGCCAGGTGGATCGCTGGGGTGACAGCCAGGTGGATCGCTGGGGTGACAGCAAGGTGGATCGCTGGGGTGACAGCAAGGTGGATCGCTGGGGTGACAGCCAGGTGGATCGCTGCGGTGACAGCCAGGTGGATCGCTGGGGTGACAGCCAGGTGGATCGCTGGGGTGACAGCCAGGTGGATCGCTGGGGTGACAGCAAGGTGGATCGCTGGGGTGACAGCCAGGTAGATCGCTGGGGTAACAGCCAGGTGGATCGCTGGGGTAACAGCCAGGTGGATCGCTGGGGTGACAGCAAGGTGGATCGCTGGGGTGACAGCAAGGTGGATCGCTGGGGTGACAGCAAAGTGGATCGCTGGGGTGACAGCCAGGTGGATCGCTGGGGTGACAGCCAGGTGGATCGCTGGGGTGACAGCAAGGTGGATCGCTGGGGTGACAGCAAAGTGGATCGCTGGGGTGACAGCCAGGTGGATCACTGGGGTAACAGCCAGGTGGATCGCTGGGGTGACAGCAAAGTGGATCGCTGGGGTGACAGCAAGGTGGATCGCTGGGGTAGCAACAAGGTGGATCGCTGGAGTAGCAACAAGGTGGATCGCTGGGGTAACAGCCAGATGGATCGCTGGGGTGACAGCAAGGTGGATCGCTGGGGTGACAGCAAGGTGGATCGCTGGGGTGACAGCAAGGTGGATCGCTGGGGTGACAGCAAGGTGGATCGCTGGGGTGACAGCCAGGTGGATCGCTGGGGTAACAGCAAGGTGGATCGCTGGGGTGACAGCAAGGTGGATCGCTGGGGTAACAGCCAGGTGGATCGCTGGGGTAACAGCAAGGTGGATCGCTGGGGTGACAGCAAGGTGGATCGCTGGGGTGACAGCAAGGTGGATTGCTGGGGTGACAGCAAGGTGGATCGCTGGGGTGACAGCCAGGTGGATCGCTGGGGTAACAGCAAGGTGGATCGCTGGGGTAACAGCCAGGTGGATCGCTGGGGTGACAGCCAGGTGGATCGCTGGGGTAGCAACAAGGTGGATCGCTGGGGTAACAGCAAGGTGGATCGCTGGGGTGACAGCAAGGTGGATCGCTGGGGTGACAGCAAGGTGGATCGCTGGGGTGACAGCAAGGTGGATCGCTGGGGTGACAGCAAGGTGGATCGCTGGGGTAACAGCCAGGTGGATCGCTGGGGTGACAGCCAGGTGGATCGCTGGGGTGACAGCCAGGTGGATCGCTGGGGTGACAGCAAGGTGGATCGCTGGGGTGACAGCCAGGTGGATCGCTGGGGTGACAGCAAGGTGGATCGCTGGGGTGACAGCAAGGTGGATCGCTGGGGTGACAACAAGGTGGATCGCTGGGGTGACAGCAAGGTGGATCGCTGGGGTGACAGCAAGGTGGATCGCTGGGGTGACAGCCAGGTGGATCGCTGGGGTGACAGCAAGGTGGATCGCTGGGGTAACAGCCAGGTGGATCGCTGGGGTAACAGCCAGGTGGATCGCTGGGGTGACAGCAAGGTGGATCGCTGGGGTAACAGCCAGGTGGATCGCTGGGGTAGCAACAAAGTGGATCGCTGGGGTGACAGCAAGGTGGATCGCTGGGGTGACAGCAAGGTGGATCGCTGGGGTGACAGCAAGGTGGATCGCTGGGGTGACAGCAAGGTGGATCGCTGGGGTGACAGCAAGGTGGATCGCTGGGGTAACAGCCAGGTGGATCGCTGGGGTGACAGCAAGGTGGATCGCTGGGGTAGCAACAAGGTGGATCGCTGGGGTGACAGCCAGGTGGATCGCTGGGGTGACAGCAAGGTGGATCGCTGGGGTAGCAACAAGGTGGATCGCTGCTGCCGCTTCCGTTTCTGTTGCTCCGGGATGTGCGTGCATTGGGCAACGTAGCTCATGGACCCCCAGCGCGCCACGCTCGCAGATCGGCGGAGTCCTTCAGCGGTGAAGTTCTACGTACGCACTGTACGTACTGTATGTACGTTGAACTTTCTTTCGCACCAATCTTGATTTGAAGCTTTCGCGACTGCAGGAATCATCCGCAATCTTTGGTTCTTTCGGTAGAGTCACGTGGGTAGAAATAAATGATTTCGCACCGCACGTAGCCAACCGTGCTAAATCGGCGGTGCGGGGGAAGGGCGGCAAACTAAAGCAGCTCTAAAGAAATTCGAAATTTTCAATCTGGATTTCAAAAGCCCATAGCTCCAGCGGCTTCCTAACATCGGAAGGAAGAGCGTTCCAGACGGCCGCAGAACCACCGTCTTTGTTCGACGAGCAGCCCAAAAGCCGCTCCTCCCAGCGCGGATGACCGGAGTTCGTGCGACGGATTATGATGCTCCGTCACGCGATCAGCAAGGTATTGCGGACGACCGTTTTGTGTGTAATGAGTGTGACCTTGTAGTAGTAATAGGTTTTGCCCTTTTAACTGGCACAAAAAACTGACACCTTTATTCAAGGCATCATGTTTGCAATAACCACAAACACAAGCAGTCAAAATGCAAACAAAAGAGACAACTCTGATAATAATATGCACCGTCATCTGGTCCAACACCAGTGGAGACTAGGCTCTAAGAAAGCCGTCTCGGGTGTGGACCAATCAAATTCAAGGACAGTGCCAATATTATTATCAGAGTTGTCTCTTTTGTTTGCATTTTGACTGCTTGTGTTGTGGTTATTGCAAACATGATGCCTTGAATAAATGTGTCAGTTTTTTGTGCCAGTTAAAAGGGTAAAAACCTATTACTATATCTTGTTACTGGCAAGGGAGGTCTCATAATGAGTGTGACCTTGTAACATTCGTTCGGCAACCGGAAGCCAATGCAGCTCTGCGTGCACTGGGCAGACATGGTCGGGTCTTGCAGGACTCCGAACCCCAAGCGCACCGATTGGAGGACGGGGCTAGGGCGAGGTGGAGGATTCTGGGTAGTTGGGTAGGGAGGATCCAACCTGCGGTTTTGTTTGCACATCTACTTTATCCGATTGAAACGCATCATTCTATGAAAATGTATGTGCACTAGCGAGTACATTCGACCTCGTAATTATTTCTGAAGTAATGAACCCGCAAGTAAAATCAAAGTCTTACGCTTATAATAGTTTCGTAGGCCTTTTCATTTCTAAAATAAACAAGATAGTGTTGGGATGGTTGTGCGTGGTGGTGCGTGGTGGTGCGTGGTGGTGCATGGTGGTGCATGGTGGTGCGTGGTGGTGCGTTGTGGTGCGTGGTGGTGCGTTGTGCATGGTGGTGCATGGTGGTGGTGCGTGGTAGTGCATGGTGGTGCGTGGTGGTGCGTGGTGGTGCGTGGTGGTGCGTGGTGGTGGTGCGTGGTGGTGCATGGTAGTACGTGGTGGTGGTGCGTGGTGGTGCGTGGTGGTGCGTGGTGGTGCGTGGTGGTGCGTGGTGGTGCATGGTAGTACGTGGTGGTGGTGCGTGGTGGTGCATGGTTGTGTGTGGTGGTGCAGTGGTGTGTGGTGGTGCAGTGGTGCGTGGTGGTGCGTGGTGGTGCGTGGTGGTGTGTGGTGTTGGTGGTGCGTGGTGGTGCGTGGTGGTGCGTGGTGGTGCGTGGTGGTGCGTGGTGCGTGGTGGTGCGTGGTGGTGCGTGGTGGTGGTGCGTGGTGGTGGTGCGTGGTGGTGGTGCGTGGTGGTGGTGCGTGGTGGTGGTGCGTGGTGGTGGTGCGTGGTGGTGGTGCGTGGTGGTGGTGCGTGGTGGTGGTGCGTGGTGGTGGTGCGTGGTGGTGGTGCGTGGTGGTGGTGCGTGGTGGTGCGTGGTGGTGCGTGGTGGTGCGTGGTGGTGCGTGGTGGTGGTGTGTGGTGGTGGTGCGTGGTGGTGGTGCGTGGTGGTGGTGCGTGGTGGTGGTGCGTGGTGGTGGTGTGTGGTGGTGGTGCGTGGTGGTGGTGCGTGGTGGTGGTGCGTGGTGGTGGTGCGTGGTGGTGCGTGGTGGTGGTGCGTGGTGGTGGTGCGTGGTGGTGGTGCGTGGTGGTGGTGCATGGTGGTGCGTGCATCCCCGGCGCGCTGCCACCGGCCGATGCAACCCGACGCTTCGTCACACCGCCGGCGGCCTCGGCTAGCGGCCGGTTCGGCAGGCAGCGGAGGGGAGCGGAGCGGAGCGGAGCGGAGAGGGAGCGGAGGGATTGCCATACCGATGGTCATCCAGGCCGCAAAGCGAATCCAGGTCATGAGGTCGAGCAGCACCATGAGGTAGGTGTTCACGAAGATGCTGACAACGGGAAGCACGGGCAGCATGGGCACCTGCGGGGCGGAGACGAAGGCACACCTCATCATCATCATCACCATCATCATCATCACCATCATCATCATCACCATCATCATCACGCTGCTGCTGCTGCTGACGCACCACGTGCGCTGTCGCTTGACCGGCATTCGTCGAACCGCTTGCACGATTGCAGCTCGTACGGCGGTCGCCTTCACTCGGTTTAACAAAGGTGTGTGGGGGGGGGGGGGGGGGGGGTAAGGGAGACAAAGGCGGCCGGGCGTGGTGCCGGCCTTCATTAGGCGCTCCTCACGGACGGCACTTGCCCCAGCAGTCTGTGAAAGGCTATACGGGGGATCTTTGTTCTTTAGTGGAGGAGCTGAACGCAACGCTTCAGACTCGCTGGTCTGCACTCATCTTCAGAGGTGGGGGGTTGTGGGCCACGATCGCCGATCAGGCATCGGTCAGCGTGAGTTACCGCCACGACATTTGAAACCACTTGGGTGGGGGGGCGGGGTTGGACAACAGCACAATGATGATGATGGGTGGGCGGTGGTTTCACCATTTGTGTATTGTCGAGGAGGTAGGGGGAGAGAGGGGGGGGGGGGGGGGTCGCACGTCAGCGGGCCGCCACTGAAGGCCCAACCAGGGGCCGCCACTGAAGGCCCACCAGTGGCCGCCACTGAAGGCCCACCAGGGGCCGCCACTGAAGGCCCAACCAGGGGCCGCCACTGAAGGCCCAACCAGGGGCCGCCACTGAAGGCCCCACCAGGGGCCGCCACTGAAGGCCCAACCAGGGGCCGCCACTGAAGGCCCAACCAGGGGCCGCCACTGAAGGCCCACCAGGGGCCGCCACTGAAGGCCCAACCAGGGGCCGCCACTGAAGGCCCACCAGGGGCCGCCACTGAAGGCCCAACCAGGGGCCGCCACTGAAGGCCCAACCAGGGGCCGCCACTGAAGGCCCAACCAGGGGCCGCCACTGAAGGCCCACCAGGGGCCGCCACTGAAGGCCCACCAGGGGCCGCCACTGAAGGCCCAACCAGGGGCCGCCACTGAAGGCCCACCAGGGGCCGCCAGCGTCCCCGCGATGGAGGACACCGGCGTACGCCATCTTAGCGCTTGCGCGGTGGATCCCGCTCAAGAACATTGACTCGCAGAAGGGGTTTTTTGTGTCCGTTACACTCGGCAGCCCCTATTGGTGTAACTACACGTGTGAACAAGTGCGGGCTCGAGCCCTTATGAGCGCCATCTCTCCGGCCTCCGTTTCTTTCTTGCCGTGCAGCTGCTGACGGATTGTCACAGCTCTGGTGGTCAAGCCGGACAACCGCGTCGGCAGCAGCGGCAGCAGCAGCAGCGGCAGCAGTAGTAGCAGCTGTAGCAGCAGCAGTAGTAGCAGCTGTAGCAGCAGCAGTAGCAGCAGTAGCAGCAGCGGCAGGAGTAGCAGTAGCAGCAGCAGCAGCAGCGGCAGCAGCAGTAGCAGCAGCAGTAGCAGCAGTAGCAGCAGCAGTAGCAGCAGCAGCAGCAGCAGCAGCGGCAGTAGTAGCAGCAGCAGACGCAGCAGCAGCGGCAGCAGCGGCAGACGCAGCAGTAGCAGCAGCAGCAACAGACGCAGCAGTAGCAGCAGCAGTAGCAGCGGCAGCAGCAGCAGCGGCAGACGCAGCAGCAGCGGCAGCAGCGGCAGACGCAGCAGTAGCAGCAGCAGCAACAGACGCAGCAGTAGCAGCAGCAGCAACAGCGGAGTAGTAGCAGTAACAACGGCAGCAGCAGCGGCAGCAACAGCAGTAGCAGTGGCGGCAGCTGCAGCAGCGGCAGAGTAGTGTACCGTCGTCGCCGTCACGTCTCCTTCGTGTTGTTTTGGATCGGGGGGGGGGGGGGCGTTTCGTCGTTATGCATCGTGCGATGCTGGTCTGGATGACCCACAGTCGCACACCGCTGGAGGAGACTTTGTTTATTTATGAGCTGTGAGGGAGAAAGGCCATTGCCTGAAACATCACCTATATTTTTTTTCTTTTACGGCCAGAGCATTATTGACAAACGCGTTGCATTATTATTATAATTATTTACTATTTGTTTTTAGCAGGTAAGGCCCCCCCTGGGCTATGAGGCTCTCTTTCAGAAGCGGCCTGGCCACAAATGATAGCTCAACGAAGTTGGCCTATCACGTGGACATTTTTATAGCAGCCAAATGACACATGTCGATTCTAACTGTGGAGGGAAAAAGCGCAGGGGACCTGGAGAAAAATCCACACGACCACGGCAAGGGAGAACACGCCAACTCCAAATATACATATTCTTGGTTCTTTCGATAAAGTCACGTGAATAGAAAAGAAAAATAAAATAACATTTTTAAATAATAAAAAGAAAATACTAAAATAATTGATGAAAACAATAAAAGCAAAAAACCCGTAATTAAAATTTTAAAAATTGTAGAATAAAATAAAAAATAATTTTAAATAATAAAAGCAAAAAACCCACGACGTTTCGATCGCAACACAAGCGGTCTTCATCAGGCGGAGAGAAAATAAAAAAAATCCAAATATACAGCAGCAGCAGGCATCGTTAGGGTCGGGATCGAACCCACGACCTCCTGTACACCGGGCGAGGTAGTTAACATCTCCTAGCCACCGTGATGATGACGAGAGAGAGAGACACGCAAACTCCAAATATACAGCAGGCATCGTCAGGGTCGGGATCGAACCCACGACCGCCTGTATACCAGGCGAGGGAGTTAACATCTCCACCGTGATGATGATGAGAGAGAGACACGCAGACTCTAAATATACAGCAGCAGGCATCGTCAGGGTTGGGATCGAACCCACGACCTCCTGTACAGCAGGCGAGGTAGTTAACATCTCATAGCCACCGTGGCGCCCTTCATGCACCACTGCCAACGCAGCAACAGCAGCATCACCAAGTAACGTGGTTGGATGCGATTCAGTCTTGGGTCTCCTCTCCTTTGTGGGAGCACTGGCAGAGAGGCATGAGATGGTGGCACACGCCCCTGTCGGTGATTGGTTGCACCTCGTGTAGGTACGTTGAACTTCTTTCGCACCGTACGTAGCCAACCGTGCAAATGGGAGGTGCAGTGTTGAGTCTATGGTGCAGTGTTGAGTCTGTGGTGCAGTGTTGAGTCTGTGGGCAGTGTTGAGTCTATAGGCAGTGTTGAGTCTGTGGGCAGTGTTGAGTCTGAGTCTGTGGGCAGTGTTGAGTCTGTGGGCAGTGTTTTGAGTCTGTGGGCAGTGTTTTGAGTCTGTGGGCAGTGTTTTAAGTCTATGGGCAGTGTTGAGTCTATGGGCAGTGTTGAGTGTATGGGTAGTGTCGAGTCTATGGGCAGTGTTGAGTCTATGGGCAGTGTTGAGTCTATGGGTCGTGTTGAGTCTATGGGCAGTGTTGAGTCTATGGGCCGTGTTGAGTCTATGGTGCAGTGTTGAGTCAAAGGTGCAGTGTTGAGTCTATGGTGCAGTGTTGAGTCTACTGGCAGTGCTGAGTCTATGGTGCAGTGCTGAGTCTATGGTGCAGTGCTGAGTCTATGGTGCAGTGTTGAGTCTATGGGCAGTGTTGAGTCTATGGGCAGTGTTGAGTCTATGGGCAGTGTTGAGTCTATGGGCAGTGTTGAGTCTGTGGGCAGTGTTGAGTCTATGGGTCATGTTGAGTCTATGGGCAGTGTTGAGTCTATGGGCAGTGTTGAGTCTATGGGCAGTGTTGAGTCGATGGGCGGCAGTGTTTTGAGTCTATGGGCAGTACGTACGTATGTTGAACTTTTTTCGCACCATACGTAGCCAACCGTGCTAATCGGAGGTGCGGGGGATGGAGGGAGGGGGGACTACAAACTAAAACACAAAAAAAGCAGTTCGAAAGAAACGAGTTAAAAAAAACTGGATTTAAAAGCGCATCGCCCCCAGCGGGGTTCCTAAATCATCGGACGGGTGTGGGAAGAGCGGCGAATCACCCCGCCGACCCCCCCCCTCCCGCCCTAACTCCGTGGCGTTGAGGCCGAGATTGATCGCTAGGCCTTCAGCGCTGCTACCGTCTCTCTGCGAAGAGACCGCAGAGAGAGAGAGAAACGGAGAGAGGACAGCCGCGTGTCCTCGTGACATTTAAAATAAGAGCGGGCGACCAGCTGCTTTGCGATTTTTTTTGGGGGGTTTGCTTTTAAATGTGCTTCGTGTCATCGTCTTCACATCCCCGTGCGCCGAGTTAGCAGCAGCCAGGCGGAGGTGCAAGCTTCTCACTCGATATTTTGTGGGTCTCCCCGACAGACTACAGTAGCCACACGGGACCGAGGAGCCGGAGGCCGTGGCGAGAGGAATACTAATAGGGATCATCTCAACTTGTAACTCTGCACCGACCCCGAACCACAGACGAGTGGGGGGGGGGGAATGCAGCGGACACGCGGTGGAACCGGCGACAAATTCTCCACCCCAACCTCTGCGGTCCCCCATCTTATTATATTTTCTACCCACGCGACTTTTCCGTAAGAACCAAAGAGTATGGATTCCTGCAGTCACGAAAGCTCCAAATCAAGATTGGTCCCCTATATGTTAAGGCGTTATAGCCCAGCTAGCTGTTAACTTGTCGGAGGAAACTGGAGCGCCTGGAGGAAAAGCCACGCGTGCAAGGGGACAACACTCGATCCCCCGCACAGATGGAACGGCCGAAGTCCACGTTCGCTGTACCGCCCTTCTCGAGGCGAGCCAGAGTGTGGACCGGTCCTCGACACCCACGGGAAGGGAGCTTCACACGACATCTGTGCGGTGATCCACCGACCCTCGCTGCTGCTGCTGCTGCTGCCGCCACAGCGCTGGATTACAGGCAGCCATGTGCAGCAGCGTAGCCACCACCGCCCAATCGATGTGGTGTGCCGGGTGTGGGAATATTTCAGTAAATTAAGGCCCACTGAGATACGCAAAAGCTCCTTTTCAGAAGCGAGCTGGCCACAAACGATAGCTCGATGAAGTGGTTTCATCGTGTGACAAAAAGGTTTTACCCTTTCTGGCAATAAAACAAGTGAGAATAGAAATTTTGATTTAAAGCTTTCGTGACTGCAGTAATTCATATTCTTAGTTTTTTCGGTAAAGTCACGTTGAAGGGAAACAACAAAATAATAATATATATAACAATAAAAAATATATATTTTATTATTTTGTTGTTTCCCTTCAACGTGACTTTACCGAAAAAACTAAGAATATAAGTGAGAATAGGTTTTTCCTCTTTTTTCATGGCCACAAAACAGCGGTGTTAAGATGTTAAAACACCAAACTGAAACCTTTTTACAAGGAATCATGTTACTGCATTAACTGCAATACTTGTGGTCAGAATGCAAACAAAAAACACTCTGATAATTTATGCATTGTCTTCGAAACTGATTGGTCCACACCAGAGACAGCTTTCTCTCGAGCCTAGCCTCTGGTCTAACACCGTTTGAGACTAGTCTCGTAGGTTTCAGTTTGGTGTTTTAACATCTCAACACAGCTGCTTTGCTGCCAGATTTAAAAAAGGAGAAAAATCGATTCTCATATTTTGGTACTGGCAAAGGAGGTCCCAATAAAACAGTTGTGTCAAGATGTTAAAACACCAAACAAACAGAATCCTTATTCAAGGAATCCTGTCTGCATTAACCACACGTACTTGTGCAAACAAAAATCGTGCTCTGGTAATATTATATATGCTTTGGTGCTGTTCGCACCTTTTGCCGTTCTCTGGTCTAACACTGTTGAGACTCAACTCAAATGCCGTCTCTGGTGCGGACCAATCGGTTTCCAAATACAATGCATCATATATTATCAGAGCATGTTTCTTTGCTTGTGTGTTCACCGCAAGTACGTGGTGGATAATGCGGACAGGATTCCTTGAGCAAGCGATTCTGTTTGGTGTTTTAACATCTCGACATATTTTAATACTGGCAAGAAAGGTCCCACATCGGGCTCATCATGTTGAAATTTACAGCAGCCAAATACTCCGAACGAATGTTTCTGAGTCTATGGGCAGGGTTAAAACCCGGAACGGACCCCGGGGAAATATCCACGCCACCACGGGGAGGACGTGGTGGCGTCGGGGTCGGAAACGAACCCACGACCTCCCGTATACCAAGCGAGGGAGTTGACATCTCCTAGCCACCAAGTCACCGACCAGAAAAGTTTTTTTCCCCAACCATTCAGCAATCGTATCCCTGGGCTCCACACGTCACACCGTCCCGCAGACGCACTTGCTCGCGATCGCCAATTCCCCCGTTCGATCTTCTCGTCATCAAACTTTAAAATTGCCTGCGGACTCTTTCGGCGCATCCGCAAGAGCCGTTGCACAGGGGGCGACGTTTCCCCAGGTCGGTGCGTGAATTCACGGGGGGGCTGACGTGAGAATAAGACGACACTGAATGCGAATGTAAAACGCCGTTGTCAAGGAAGCCTTACGGAGACCACGCCCGTCAGGCCCTCGAGCAGCGCTTTGGCCGATCGCCCTTTTCGTCAACGTTGTTGAATAAAAAGGAGTCTTTAAGATGCCCTGTAAGCACGTACGTACGTTGAACTTCTTTCGCACCGTACGTAGCCAACCAGTGCCAAATCGGAGGCGCGTTCTAAATGTAATCGCACGGCCAAGGAGGACGTGACACGAGGCTCGACGCCTCCGCGCTCTGGCAATTGATCGCGTGCGCCCTCTGACCTTGGCGCGGTGCATTGTGGGAACAGGCTGGATTAGCAGCCATCAAGGCGGCACACGCTGCACGCTTGCTTATTTATTGCGGTAGGCCAAGCCCAGCAAAAGCCTCGCAACCGGAGCCTCACGACTCCTGTTTCGGGAGGGTCCTTACCTTGAAGGAGACCTTCGCCCGACTCTGCGGCTGCCTCCAGATGACGGCGGTGACCGCGACGAGGGCGGTGGCGAAGACGACGACCATGGCGATGACCCAGGTGGCCTGCTCGGCCAGGGCCGAGGCCCCGTGCACCATGAACGTGGTGAGCACCACGCAGAGCAACGCTGCGTGCACCCACGGACGGACCCACGCTCGCCAGTTGCGGAACCACAGCTCAACCGGTGCACACGAGCGCACAATCGCGTTCGCAAAGACAAGGATCCACCCCCCCCCCCCGTATAGCCCCGGCAGACTGTAGGGGGCAAGTGCTGTTAGTGAGCACCTACGAAGGCCGGCACGGTACACGCCCGGCCGCCTTTGTCTCCCCAGTGACGACGTTTACACATCGCACCAGGTACTCAGCTGAGGCCGAGTCGACCCAGGGGAGGGGGCCCAGTCGACCGGTTCAGATAATTGTCACTGGTGTTGACGGTTTTGAAGTGCAGCGTGCTAACCGTTGCACCACCGCTCGCCACACAATCGCGTTCACGACCAATCCGTGTACGCAATCACGGCCACAAGGTTAAACTAGACTTTTTATTTGACCAGGTAAGGCTCACTTGAGCTATGCATAGCTCTTCAGAAGCGACCTGGCCACAAATGATATCTCAACGAAGTGGCTTATCGTGTGGAAATTCACAGTAGCCAAACACTCAAAAAACGCGCGATGTTGATTCTAAATGTGGAGCGAAAAACCGAAGGACCGGGAGAAAAATCCACGTGACCACGGGAAGAGACAGACAGACACGCAAACTCCAAATATACAGCAGCAGGCGTCGTCAGGGTCGGGACCGATCCCACGACCTCCTGCGTACCAGGCGAGGTAGTTAACATCTCACCGCTGTGCGAGAGAGACACGCAAACTACAAATGTACAGCAGGTGTCGTCAGGGTCGGGATCTATCCCACGACCTCCTGTATACCAGGCGAGGTAGTTAACATCTCACCGCTGTGCGACAGAGACACGCAAACTACAAATGTACAGCAGGCGTCGTCAGGGTCCGGATCGATCCCACGACCTCCTGTATACCAGGCGAGGTAGTTAACATCTCACCGCTGTGCGAGACACGCAAACTATAAATATACAGCAGGCGTCGTCAGGGTCGGGATCAATCCCACGACCTCCTGTATACCAGGCGAGGTAGTTAACATCTCACCACTGTGCGAGACACGCAAACTACAAATATACAGCAGGCGTCGTCAGGGTCGGGATCGATCCTACGACCTCCTTTATACCAGGCGAGGTAGTTAACATCTCACCACTGTGCGAGAGAGACACGCAAACTACAAATATACAGCAGGCGTCGTCAGGGTCGGGATCGATCCCACGACCTCCTACGTACCAGGCGAGGTAGTTAACATCTCCTAGCCGCTGCGGCACGGTGGAGGGGGGTGAGGTGTGTGTGGGGGGGGGTGGGGGTGCTCACCGATGACGCCGACACACACGTTCACGATGACGGTCGACTGCTTGTTGGGAAGCCGCGACCGGGGCTGTATCAGCAGCATGGCCCCCCACTGTGGCTTCACCTGCTCCTCCAGGGCGGCACCCCCAGGCACGAATCCAAAGTCCGGCGAGTCCTTCCAGTCCGGCTCCGGTTGGTAACTGACCACGCGCGATAGAGGGGGGATGACACACACACACACACACGCGCGTGTGTGTGCAGCGCGGTCACCAATTCTGCGCTTGACGTATCGCGGCGATTGACCGCGCCCGAACTCATCGACGGCGAGGTTTCGCCGCTCGAACGTCCCAACGGCGCAACGGTTGGGCCCACGTCGCGCCCGCCGGCCGCGCACGTGGGCCGCCCGCAATCCGGCGGCGTGGAGGCAAGCGGCGAGGGTTGACGCGCAGAGAAGGCGGGACGCGGAAAAAAAATGTGGACTTTGCCCGTTCCGTGTGTGCGGGATCGAGCGTTTCCCCCACACACACACACCTCCCCCCCTCGCGCGCGCGTGGGGGGGGGGGGGGGTGTTTCGTCCGGGTGCTCCGGTGTCCTCACACTTTAAAACGCTCCTTAATTGGCCGATAAAAGATTCGTACAAAGAGGATTGCAGAGCTTGGGCAATTGTTGACGTCGGCTCATCGTGTGGCTGACTTGCAGCTTCGTCTGTGGCTCCGCCTGGCATCCGCGGAGTCCATCTCTCTCTTCAGGGAGGCGAATCGCCCGATGAATCTCTCGCGAAATGCCACGGTACTCAAATTGTGTGCTGAAGTAGCAGCCAGTTGGCATGCTTTGCTCAAGGTGACAAACCTTACGAATCGGGCCGTGATCGGGTGGCGGCGAGTTAACGACAGATTTATATTAACGCCATCCAACCCAAAAACCTTTATCATGGGTAATTTTGGTCGCGAAAAGCCTACGTGCATGCATTAAAAAAATATATAAAATGAAAACGAGACCATTACGGTACGTCCGTGAAATACCAGGGCCGTGGCCTGTAATGTTATTTATGTTGTTTACTATATAAACACACCAACAACAACAACAACACGGACAATCACCGGACATCACAGGGCAGCTCTGGCACGCGCAACCCAACGCTGCGGTGGTAATTGTGCAGCGCGGGTGTCAGAAACCGGGACGGCAGTGGCGAGAGACGTTCCTGCACAACCGTGGAGGAGATGCCAACGAGCAGCCGGCCGCTCGGGGTTGTGGCCCTGCGCCACAACCCCACCAGCAACCATACCACCAACCACACACCACCACCAACCACACCACCAAACACACACCACCACCAACCACACACCACCACCAACCACACACCACCACCAACCACACACCACCACCAACCACACACCACCACCAACCACACACCACCAACCACACCACCAAACACACACCACCACCACCAACCACACCACCAACCACACCACCACCACACACCACCACCAACCACACCACCAACCACACACCACCAACCACACACCACCACCAACCAACCACACCACCAACCACACCACCAACCACACCACCACCACCAACCACACACCACCAACCACACCACCAACCACACCACCAACCACACACCACCACCACCAACCACACACCACCACCAACCACACCACCAACCACACCGCTACCCCCCTCACCCCCAAACGCTTCTGTTGTTGTTACCATAACGCCGGGCTGCCCTATATATCCGCCCATGTTATTCCGAGGCTGCACGGCTGTAGCCAAACGCAGCGAAATATTTAAAAAAAACACCCCGTGGATTAATTCGTTCGGACGAAAGAGGTTAGGGGGACCCGGGGGAGGCGCGAGTGGAGCGGGAGAAAGGCGGAGGAGGATGATGATGAGGAGGGGGTGGGGAGCTGCTGCTTGGCATTCCTTACCGCAGGATGAGCACGCAGGCAGCCACCAGAGAGTATGACAGCAGCGTTCCGATGGACATGAGGTCCACCAGGGCGATGAGGTCAAACAGGAACGCCATCACCGCTGATGCAGACAAACGATAAAAGGCAAAAAAAATTTGATCCTCACTGCGGTAGCCCGGGGTACCGATATCATACAAAAATGGCCGAGGCAATTCATTAAATGTTTTATTTCCGGGACGCGATTTTTTGTCCAGCGGTGCACTTCAACTCCGCGACGGGGCTACCGATCGATCCCGAAAATCGGTGTTGCCGCTCCGCCATGTCGAAACGCAGCGAGGACGACGGTAGCGCCGGAAACCCCCGAACGGCCGCGCGGTACGCGCCGAGGTAGCGGTGCGTCGGAGTGCACAGCTCGTCGAGATGAGCCCATTGCCGCGTCGCCGACCATCAACAGACTAGACAAAATGACTTGCGTCGCGAACATTAGATATGCGAGAGCCGGGGGGAACTACGGTACCCCGGGGTAACGCCGTAAGGTTCAAATATCCAGCATTGACGGCACGGCGCACGCACGATGTTTACACAATCGCACCAGGTGCTCACTTGAGGTGGAGTCAACCCAGGGGAGACGGAGGCCCAAGACGAGTTCAGATGTCCATCAGCGGTTTTGGCCCATGAGCGGGAATGTATAAAGCAGACAAGGGACTCTAAACGCGCGATGTCGATTCTAAATTTGAAGCGCAAAAGCGGAGGAGCTGGCGAAAAATCCACGCGACCATGGGAGGAGAGAGAGAGAGAGAGACACGCAAACACCAAATATACAGCAGGCGTCAGGGTTGGGATCGAACCCACGACCTCCTGCACACCAGGCGAGGTAGTTAACATCTCCTAGCCACCGTGATGATGATGAGAGAGAGAGACACGCAAACTCCAAATATACAGCAGGCGTCAGGGTCGGGATCGAACCCACAACCTCCTGTATACCAGGCGATGTAGTTAACATCTCCTAGCCACCGTGATGATGATGAGAGAGAGAGAGACACGAAGACTCCAAATATACGGGGATTGTCAGGATCGGGATCGAACCCACTACCTCCTGTACACCAGGCGAGGTAGTTAACACCTCTTACAACATTGACCAGCAAAGCACAACATTATTAATTCTGAGCTGAAGAAATAAAAGCCAGGTTTTACTTTAGGAGACGGTGGTCTGAACTGTTCACGAGCAGCAATGCCTCGGCGCCAGAGTCGCGGCTCGCTGCGACTCTGAGAGACGCCGGCTAAAATCTCGGCCGGAGCACTTTACTCGGCCAGGGGTGCAGAGCAGAGGGGCACCACGGTGGCTAGGAGATGTTAACTACCTCGCCTGGTGTACAGGAGGTCGTGGGTTCGATCCTGACCCTGACGCCTGCTGCTGTATATTTGGAGTTTGCGTGTCTCTCTCTCATCATCATCACGGTGGCTAGGAGATGTTAACTACCTCGCCTGGTGTACAGGAGGTCGTGGGTTGGATCCCGAAATTGATGCCTGCTGCCGAATATTTGGAATCTGCGTGTCTCTCTCTCTCATCATCATCACGGTGGCTACGAGATGTTAACTACCTCGCCTGGTGTGCAGGAGGTCGTGGGTTCGATCCCGACCCTGATGCCTTCTGCCGAATATTTGGAGTTTGCCCCTCCGTCTCCCTCTCCCCGTGGTCGCGTGGATTTTTCCGCCGGTTCCTCCGGTTTCCCCCCCCCCCTCCGCATTTCAGAATCGCCGTCGCACGCTTAAAGAGTCTTCGGCTGCCGAGCTACACAGCTCTCAGTCGACCTGGCCACAGCGACAGCCCGACGAAGGGGGCCTCATCGTCACCCCGTGGACTTCTATAGCAGCAGCAGCAGCAGCAGCAGCAGCCAAACAACCCCGTAGCAGCCAAACAGTCCGAGGCGCAGAGCCCAGGTGCCCATCACCTGCCACGGAGCCCGAAGTGACCGTCGCGAGGATGGGAGTCTTGAAGCGCTTGTGGACCCGCGCCAGCCAGCGGAACAGCAGGCCGTCCTCCGCCATGGCGTAGATGATGCGAGGCATGGGGAAGATGCTTCCGAGCAAACTGGGGTTGGGGGCGGAGGAGAAGGGCCACCAGGCCGAGCGCACGGAAGGGGGGGGGGGAGAGGGAGTTCACCGACGATGGCGGTAGCGGCGACTGTTAAAAATGCTCTTTCACGCGAAGGCGGGTGGAGAGGGCGACCCTCCGCGCGGGCAACCTGGATTCCCACGGGAGGCGACACCAGGCGCCGCGCAAATGTCGAGGGGCTCCCTTCGGAACCCGCGGCCGTTGGGGGAGGTGCCCCCGTTAAGCCCCTGGCTCGCTAGGAGAAAGGCCTGCTCCTTCTGTGTGGGATAGAGCGTTGCCCCCCTCGCACGTGTGTGTGTGTGGGTCTTCTCCGGGTTTTTGCTCCCACGCGCAGTGCAAACGCTCGCCAATTGGCCGAAAACATCTTAATTACGGAGGGAACTGTTGGTGTCGGCCCACTGCCCGGCATCCTTCCGGCTCGGCCTGCGGTTGCCACAGATGCAATTTGCACGAACGATATGAAACTAAATTTTGATTTAAAGCTTTCGTGACTGCAGTAATTCATATTCTTAGTTTTTTCGGTAAAGTCACGTTATTTTGTTGTTTCTCTTCAACGTGACTTTACCGAAAAAACTAAGGATATGAAACTAATCAATTTTTCTCCCTCCATACAGAAACAACCACTTGATGCTCCGGTCAAAACCATCACACTACCATATATAGCAGGCGTTACTAAAAAGATTTCCAAAATTCTAAACAAACAGAAGATCCAGGTCCGGTTCAATACAGTACACAAAATTCGTGATCTGATCCCATCCGTGAAGGATGTCATTCCTGACTTGCAGTAACCCCGGGGTTTACAAATTGAGTTGTACCTGCGGTGATTGCTATATCGGGGAGACAAAGCAACATGTCTCTGACCGAATTCGCGAGCACAAATCAGATTTGAAACACGGCAGAACGAATTCTTCTGCCGTAGCTGATCACTGTTACAACGCTGTGGGTGATCACGATATAATTTTCTCCGAAACCAAGGTTCTTTGCAAACCCACGGGTTTTTATCAGAGATTTGTTCACGAGGCAATTCAGATCTACAGACACAATTTCAACCGAGAAGATGGTTTCAAATTAAGCAACCATTGGTAAGATGTTCTAAATCGAACCAAACATTAAACTAATTTTCAATGGTACAGTATATTTTTCAAGTAGTGGTACCCCAAACTTTCGCAGCTCTTAAAATTCCCTTTTCACACCACCAATAGGTAAACTCCCCCTCCCCCCCCTCACCAACCGGCATGTTCACCCGCATGTACACCACCTCTACACCGTTCATCATGCTAAGTCGGCCAATCAAATGCTAATTTTTATGCTAATTCCTTTGTCAAGGCACCTTAATTACTCTCACACAGCTTAAAGGTCGCGGTCTGAGCTTGGCTGTGTTCACTCCAGCGCTGTCCTCGAGACAGCCTGGTCCCTTCACCTGATGAAGGCCGCTTGTGTTGTGGCCGAAACGTCGTGATTTTTGTTTTATGGATCCTTGCAGTCACGAAAGCTTCAAATTTAGAACTGCCCATAGACTCAACACTACCCATAGACTCAACACTGCCCATAGACTCAACACTGCCCGTAGACTCAACACTGCCCATGGACTCAACACTGCCCATGGACTCAACACTGCCCATAGACTCAACACTGCCCATGGACTCAACACTGCCCATGGACTCAACACTGCCCATGGACTCAACACTACCCATAGACTCAACACTGCCCATGGACTCAACACTGCCCATAAACTCAACACTGCACCATAGACTCAACACTGCCCGTAGACTCAACACTGCCCATAGACTCAACACTGCCCATAGACTCAACACTACCCATAGACTCAACACTGCACCTCCGATTAGCACGGCTGGCTACAACACGGTGCGACAGAAGTTCAACACAAGACCGCATCCAAGAGGCGTTTGGCCGCCAACGCCGGCGACGCCGCATCGGCCTTACCTCGAGGTGAGCGCGCACAGCGCCCCGATGGCCACCATGTACTTGGCGGGGCCCCAGCCCACGTACTCGAAGGCCACGGGCAGGGGGCTGGCCTCGTCCAGCAGATAGTAGGGCATCATGAGCGTGAGGGCGGCCGACACGCCGAAGTAGGCCACAAAGCAGATGAGCAGCGACGCGACGATGCTGATGGGGATGGCCCGCTGGGGGTTCTTCACCTCCTCGCCTGCAAACCGCGAATGAGACAAAAAAAACACAGCGAGAGGTGGGTGGGGGCGTGTCCGCGCACGACGAGAACGTGGAGTGGAGGCGGCGTCCCAGGCGAAGAGCGGCGCCCGTTCGGGCCGTTCCTTGGGCTCGTCGTTTCGGCTTTCAAAGCATTTCGCGCGCGCTGCATCATGAACCGTGCTGTGTCATGAACCGTGCTGTGTCACGAACCGTGCTGTGTCATGAACCGCGCTGCGTCATGAACCGTGCTGTGTCACGAACCGTGCTGTGTCATGAACCGCGCTGTGTCATGAACCGTGCTGTGTCATGAACCGTGCTGCGTCACGAACCACGCTGTGTCACGAACCACGCTGTGTCATGAACCGTGCTGTGTCATGAACCGTGCTGTGTCACGAACCGTGCTGTGTCATGAACCGTGCTGTGTCATGAACCACGCTGCGTCATGAACCGTGCTGCGTCATGAACCGTGCTGTGTCACGAACCGTGCTGTGTCATGAACCGTGCTGTGTCATGAACCACGCTGTGTCACGAACCACGCTGTGTCATGAACCGTGCTGTGTCATGAACCGTGCTGTGTCATGAACCACGCTGTGTCATGAACCACGCTGTGTCATGAACCACGCTGTGTCATGAACCGTGCTGTGTCATGAACCACGCTGTGTCACGAACCACGCTGCGTCATGAACCGTGCTGCGTGATGAACCGTGCTGTGTCATGAAACGTGCTGTGTCATGAACCACACTGTGTCATGAACCACGCTGTGTCATGAACCACGCTGTGTCATGAACCGTGCTGTGTCATGAACCGTGCTGTGTCATGAACCGTGCTGTGTCATGAACCGTGCTGTGTCATGAACCACGCTGTGTCACGAACCACGCTGTGTCATGAACCACGCTGTGTCATGAACCGCGCTGTGTCATGAACCATGCTGTGTCATGAACCGTGCTGTGTCATGAACCACGCTGTGTCATGAACCACGCTGTGTCATGAACCGTGCTGTGTCATGAACCGTGCTGTGTCATGAACCACGCTGTGTCATGAACCGTGCTGTGTCATGAACCGTGCTGTGTCATGAACCACGCTGTGTCATGAACCACGCTGTGTCATGAACCGCGCTGCGTCAACGCCGCGCCAAATGTCGGCGGGGCTCAACGGAGACGGCGTCTGGCGCGAGGGCGGTGGAATTTTTCCCCCCCTCCCTCCCCGTCAAGCGCGCGCCCACACAGCGAGTGTCCGCGGTGTTCCCGTGCCTCCCCCCCGTCCCTGCGACGCAGTTCGTGTTCTGTACCGGCCTCTTTATTTGAAGAAAAAAAAACCACAAACAGAATGAATTTTATATTCTTTGGGTCTTTCGGTAAAGTCACGTTCGAGTACTCAAAAACTGAAAATGTTGTGGGTTCACTCTTCAACACACCGGTGGGCTAAAGCAGTGAACCATTTTGCCTTTTGTCAACGTGACACTTTTTTTGCTGATTGATCCGTGTCGGGTGGTGGAGGGTTACGACACATTTATAAATAACGCGATTTGACCCAAAAACCTTTATTATTTATAAAATAAATCACGACGTTTCGGGCGTGATGACGGACGCTTGTGTGTTGCGCCCGAAACGTCGTGATTTATTTTATTTTCTACCCACGTGACCTTACCGAAAGAACCAAAGGGTGATGGATTCCTGCAGTCACGAAAGCTTCAAATCAAGATTGCATTTCGATCACAACACAAGCGATCGTCCTCCAGATGACGATCGCTTGCGCTGTGATCGAAACGTCGTAGTTTTTTTTGTTATTCTTTGGTTATTTTCTTTGAACCCAAGTGACATCACCGAAAGACAAAAGGAACATCAATTAATGCAGTCACGGAAGCTTCAAGTCAAGATAGAATTAATTCTAACAGACTAATCCACGTTCAGCCCGCGAGATTGACTGGGCCGCATTCGTGACATTGGCCGGCCCCCCAAGCGGCGAGGTCAACGTGGAGCACGACGCGGATTTTACTCCGCGTGGAAAGGACACGGAGAACGCTTGCCCTCCGGAGCTAACACCAAATGTGGGATGGAGAGCACTCATTGGAAGGCATCCGTCAATAGGCATCACGACTGTGCACGGGCACGATACGCCACAAAGTACCGTTCCCACAGCCCCCTTGTCAATGCTCACCACTCCCCCACACTTACGACACCTTTGGCGATACAATATGGGCCATTCAAAGTCCTACCGGGGCCTAATGGTCTTACAGCCTAAAACTCATATTTCTTGGTTCTTTCGGTAAAGTCACGTAGAAGGGAAACAATAAAATATTGTTTCCCTTCTACATGACTTTACCAAAAATATGAATCCCTGCAGTCACGAAAGCTTTAAATCAAAAGCCTAAAACTCAGCAAGTCCTACGGTTAATTACCGAACATCCGTCGGTGAGGTTGAGGCGCGACGGGTCAAGCAAGCGTGACCGTATATTTTAATGTTCGCGGGGCCCTCTGGTGGCTGCACGAGCGGCACGCAGCCGCACGCGCAAGACGAGGGCGATTTCACGCAGCAAATCGCGCATGTCGGGGCCACTCGCTTGGGCCTGCTAACAGACCTCCCACTCGCTACGGTACGGACTGTCGACGGACCGCTCCGGCCTCTTCATGTGGAACCCCGAACCCCCCCCCCACCATGCAGTGTTTCTGCAATCTGTTCGCAGAACCCGTTTTGTTTGGAAGTTGGGTCCCGCGTCTTGTCTTGTACGGGGACCGACATTTGGCTCGGCCATCGAACGGCTACGGTCACGGCATCGTGCGTCTGCGGCCGTCTGGAATGCTCTTCCTTCCGATATTAGGAGGCCGCTGGAGCCGTGCACTTTGAGATCCAAATTGAAAACGAATTTCTTCGCAACCGATTTTAGTGTTGAGCTTGTTGTCCTTCCCCCGCACCTCCGATTAGTACGGTTGGCTACGTACGGCGCGAAAGAAGAAGTTCAACATACACATGTAGTGACATCACGGATGTCACTGTGTAATGCCGGCTCGAGAGAGGCACGGCGTGCGATGTAGCGACATCGCGGACACCACGTGAATGTGGGTGCAGTACCGGCCCTAGAGGGGGCTCGGTGAGCGCCGACTGACAGCGCTGGATGTGAGAGTGGATGTGAGAGTGCCGGCCATGGAAATGGGGTTTACTAAGGGCCATGGCACTCTGTAGACTTTACAGGTCACGTGTCCCCTGGGGTCAACCACAGGGCCCCCAAGTGGGGGCCAGGGGTGGCCACGTGTCAGGGTCGAGATCCTGCTGGAGGATTCTAGAAGGTGGGCGTGGCTAAGGGCGGAGCCAGCCACGCCGCAGGGGATGTAAGCCGGGTCCCCGAGAGGGACCGGCTGCTGTTGTTCATCCTGAAGAGATCTACGTTCTACGTCCTACAGAGTCTCCAACACGTGGACCGGGACCCAAGCTGTGGTCCGGTCCGTCATAGCTACTCCCAGTGTAACTAGTGTAGTTAGCCTGGTGGTCACGTAGCTAGTTACGGCGTAATTAGTGCAGTTAGCCTGGTGGTCCACCACCACAGGTTGTTATCTTGTTAAGGGGCAGTTACCCCGTGCGTTGGTGTTAATAAATGTGTTGCCTCCAAGACGTGCATCTGCGACTCAGTTGAACTCACTACACATGCATAGACTCGGACTTGATTACTTTGGCTGGCAAGGCCCCATTGAGCTAGGCAGCTCTTTGACAAGGATGACCACAGCCCAAGACTGTCGGTAATGGTGGCAAGTTACATGACGACACAGTTTTATCCAGTTACATTGAGACCCACAGAGTTACATAGAGACTCGTTGAGTTAGAAATCAATAGCTTGTCGGAGATGAAGAGTGACGCAGGCATCCACAAAGTTAGATGGAGACTCATAGTTTTACGGATATTCATAGTGCGACACAGACTCAGAGTTACAAAAGAAACTCAGACTCAGCTGCCAAGGCCCCATTGAGCTAAGCAGTTCAGTTGCAAGGATCACCGCAGCCCAAGACCGTCAGCAGCGGTGGTAGTTACAGGATATCGCAGTCACGTAGAACTACATCGAAGCCCACAGAGTTACACAGAGATCCATAGTTACACAGGGATTCGTAGAGTAACACAGACATCCCTAGGAGTTACACAGAGACTCAAGAGTTACGAAACTATCGCAGCCCAAGGTGCCGACGGCAGTGGCGGCAGTCGCAGGACTCCGCGGGGCGGAGGGAAGGCGCTAACTAACGGGAGCTAAAGCAACGACAACAAAAACGATTGGCACGAGAAACCCACGCATGCCCGGAACGCCGCGCAAACAGGATAAGCAATTAAATAAATAAAAAAGATGCTGACATACTAATCAAAAACAGCGTGTAAAAAGTTTAAAAGTAAAAAAAAAACAATAATTCCTGTCGCCGACCGCAAGGCGCAACGCCGTTGCCGGCGAACGCCAAAATCACGGGCGCCCGTCCCACGCCGTCCCAACCCACCGCCGCCCCCCCCCCCCCCCCCATTGGCTCACCGGTGGTGGCGATGCAGTCGAAGCCGACGAAGGCGTAGAAGCAGGTGGCGGCGCCGGTGAGGACGCCGGTCACCCCGTACGGGGCGAACCCCCCCGAGCCGTACGTCCCGCTCGTCGTCGCGTTGCTGCAGCGAGCGAACAATGGCGTTAGCGGCAGCAGGGCATCAAGCAAACCGGAACCTCTTCCCGCCCGCTCTCAACGTTGTGGTGTGTCGCGTCCGTGATCTTGGTGGCCCTTCCTTCCACTTAGCTCACCGTCCATGACATTTGCTCACTAACTTGTTAGCCTGTGGGCGATGTTAGTCTACGGGCAGTGTTAGTCTAAGGGCAATGTTAGTCTAAGGGCAATGTTAGTCTACAAGCAATGTTAGTCTACGGGCGATGTTAGTCTACGGGCAATGTTAGTCTACGGGCGATGTTAGTCTAAGGGCAATGTTAGTCTACAAGCAATGTTAGTCTACGGGCGATGTTAGTCTACGGGCAATGTTAGTCTATGGGCAATGTTAGTCTAAGGGCAATGTTAGTCTACAAGCAATGTTAGTCTACGGGCGATGTTAGTCTAGGGGCAATGTTAGTCTATGGGCAATGTTAGTCTATGGGCAATGTTAGTCTATGGGCAATGTTAGTCTACAAGCAATGTTAGCCTATGGGCGATGTTAGTGTTTGAGCAATGTTAGACTACAGGCAATGTTAGCCTATGGGCGATGTTAGTCTAGGGGCAATGTTAGTCTATGGGCAATGTTAGTCTATGGGCAATGTTAGTCTAAGGGCAATGTTAGTCTACAAGCAATGTTAGTCTATGGGCAATGTTAGTATATGGGCAATGTAAGTCTACAAGCAATGTTAGCCTATGGGCGATGTTAGTCTATGGGCAATGTTAGTCTACGGGCAATGTTAGTCTACGGGCAATGTTAGTCTATGGGCAATGTTAGTCTATGGGCGATGTTAGTCTATGGGCAATGTTAGTCTACGGGCAATGTAAGTCTACAAGCAATGTTAGCCTATGGGCGATGTTAGTCTATGGGCAATGTTAGTCTACGGGCAATGTTAGTCTACGGGCGATGTTAGTCTACGGGCGATGTTAGTCTACGGGCAATGTTAGTCTATGGGCGATGTTAGTCTATGGGCAATGTTAGTCTACGGGCAATGTAAGTCTACAAGCAATGTTAGCCTATGGGCGATGTTAGTCTACAAGCAATGTTAGCCTATGGGCGATGTTAGTCTACGGGCGATGTTAGTCTATGGGCAATGTTAGTCTATGGGCAATGTTAGTCTAAGGGCAATGTTAGTCTACAAGCAATGTTAGTCTACGGGCGATGTTAGTCTAGGGGCAATGTTAGTCTATGGGCAATGTTAGTCTATGGGCAATGTTAGTCTATGGGCAATGTTAGTCTACAAGCAATGTTAGCCTATGGGCGATGTTAGTGTTTGAGCAATGTTAGACTACAGGCAATGTTAGCCTATGGGCGATGTTAGTCTAGGGGCAATGTTAGCCTATGGGCGATGTTAGTCTATGGGCGATGTTAGTGTTTGGGCAATGTTAGTCAAAAGACAATGTTAGTGTTTGGGCAATGTTAGTCAAAAGACAATGTTAGTCTATGGGCATTGTTAGCCTTTGGACAATGTTAGTCTATGGGCAATGCTAGTCTACGGGCATTATTAGCCAATGGGCAATGTTAGTGTTTGGGCAATGCGAGACTATGGGAAATTTTAGTCTATCTACATATCTATGGGCCGTGCCATTTCTCAAAGACTTTGGCGATCACGGCCTTCCTTCCATTCATCTCCATCCGCGACATTTACTCACGAACTTTGCATCGGTAACTCCTCCCCAGTTGCATCCAATTATTCTAATTGCTAAAGCAACTTAATTCGCCATCTTCTCGTAAACCATCTCACGTGAAGAGTAAGTCGACCTGGCGTGCCCTTTAAAATAGGTGGTCGTGTAAATGCAACAATACAAAATATCAAACGATGTGTGGACGCTGCCGCCGCATTAGCAATGGTGTACAGGCCCAAGTAAACAAACCACTCAGCACGTTCATCAACAAATCACCGCGGCCTTCACGGAAAAAAATACACAATAGGCGACGTTTCAGGAAATGGCCCTTCTTCACAGCATTTTTTTGGGTGTTGCTATAAAGACGGGCCAATTGCCAAAACGTCACCCATTATATCGTTTTTCCTTTTAAAGGCCGCAGCGTTATTGACCAACGCGTTGAGTTTTCCCCTTTTTTTTTGTTTGCACAAATGGACTGTCGATGTATAAAACGTCAGTGGGAATGTTACTGGTAAATATCTCCATCGTCATCATCACACCATCGTCGTCGTCGTCGTCAGCGGTGTCCGACGGTGGCACGTGGCGATGGGCGCGAGCGCCTCCAGTTAGTTGGCTAAAAACCGGGGAGCGGAGGAGATTGGACAGTGCCGTTCATCCTCTGGCATCGAGCATTGGGACCTTTTTCAACGTTTTTTTTTTATTTAACTTCACTTGCGTTTGTCGTGGTCAAATCTTCCAAATCAAAAGTTAAGTCGACTTCCTGTTGTGCAATCAATTCCAAAGCTTGCACACGTGCTCAGATCCGGTGACGATGCACGCCTGTATAAAAAGTGCCATCAATTCATCATTGATCTGCCTCCTTTCCTTTCAAAAACGCCGCGGTACCTAAACTGTGAAATCGGCTCGCACAAAAAGCAGGCGCCGCGTGTCTCAGGCGCCACTGACGTACTTCTCAAAGACCGTGAGTTAAACGAAGTTGTCGATAAAACCGTTGTTTTTGAAACACTTTTTTGAAGCACTTTATTTGCCAGTATCAAAGAATTAATTAAAAGAATAGGTTTTGGTTTTTTAATCCTTTGCTCGTGATAAAACGTGTGTGAAGATTATACTGGCAAAAAGATCCCAGGGACATAACTGCTCAACCCCAGCGATAAATGCGCCGATGCTTGCATTGTCTTTGTACTGGTCGCCCTTTTGACATTCTCTGGTCTGACACTGGTGAGACGGGGCCATGGAGAAGGCCGTCTCTCTGGTGTAGGCCAATCGGTTTCAAAGATAATGCACACATTACACTCTGTAAACAAACAAACTAAAATTGTTCCTTGGTAGTAAAGTGTTATTTCCTAATTGCTTATGCCTCAAAAGTACGGAAAATGGGCTATTATTTCCCCACAAGCTTTGCTTTTGTGACCAGGACAGTGATATTTTGAAATGTTCCTATTTTCAATGAGAACACGCGGTGTGCATTTGTGTCAATTCCTTCACGTAAAGTCCTGGTCACTAAAGCAAAGTTTGCGTGCGGAATAATTCTCGATTTGAAGTGTTTGTGACTGCAGGGATCCATACTCTTTGGTTCTTTCGTTAAAGTCACGTGGGCTCCTCCCCCCGCCCCCTTTCTTACTTATATATGGCCTCATGTTACAGGCAGCCCACCCTTTTGCCCACTTCAGCAGTTGTTTCTTGCTGTGGTTGTTCCACCTGATTAAAAGGCACTGGTGTTGCGCCCGAAACAGCGTGATTTAATTTATTTTATTTTATACCCACGTTACTTTACCGAAAGAACCAAACAGTATGTTTGTGGGGACTAGCCATCTGCTATACCTTTGAGGCATAAGCAATTAGAAAATAACACTCACTACCCAGGGACAAAACTCGTGTTATATAGTGTGATCAGAGCACGTTTGTGTGTGGTTAATGCAAAGTTGATTCCTCGTAAACAGGTATCGATTTGGTGTTTGAAAGGGTACAAAAAAAACCTACTCTTTTTTTTCCTCTTCATAACCGGCAACAACAACGAAAACAACCGTTCGCCCCGTTCATTCAACTCGGCACGCGGCAAACAGCGACGCCACCAATCTGCGCCGATGACAGCCGCCGGGGGCATGGCAGCACCGTGGAAGGGGGGGGCGTGGTGGTGGTGGTGGTACCCGCGATGCCACCATCTCAAGGCACCGCTACGCCTAAGCTCAGGGCACCGGGTAAATGAGGATTGCTTGGATCGCTCGTTCATTTGTTATATTTTAGAGAAATATTTTTTTTTAGAGATATTATATTTTTATATTTTAGAGATATTTATTTTTTAGAGATATTATATTTTTATATTTGAGAGATTATTTTTTTAGAGATATTATATTTTTATATTTGAGAGATATTTATTTTTTAGAGACATTATATTTTTATATTTGAGAGATATTTATTTTTTAGAGATATTCTATTTTTATATTTGATAGATTTATTTTTTAGAGATATTATATTTTTATATTTGAGAGATATTTATTTTTTAGAGATATTATATTTTTATATTTGAGAGATATTTATTTTTTAGAGATATTATATTTTTATATTTGAGAGATATTTATTTTTTAGAGATATTATATTTTTATATTTGAGAAATTTTTTTTTAAATTATATTTTGTTGCACCGTTTTTTTTATATTCTTGTTATATATATTTTTTTTTTATTCACGCATGCAACTCAACGCGGGCTGGCGGTACAGGGCACCTTTCATTACGTGGGGGGGGGTGCATAAAAATTCGGCGTGCCTGAGTTTGGGGTGCGGCAGGGCTTAATGAAGTGGGGGAAGGGGGGGGCAGGGGAATTGGGTTCATTTGCCCCACCCAGGTGGAGAGGGTATGAAAGTTGATATGGGGGGCGAGGGGGGCGCAGGATGGTGGGGAAGGGAAAACACGACGAAAAGGGGGGCCCCGGGGGAAAAGGAGGGGGGGGGGGGGAGGGGCGTGGATCTATCTGGACGGTCCAGACGCAACGCCGCTCTCGTCGGCGAAAGCCTGTCGTCTCGCGCCCCCGCATTAACTCCGACTCGAAGAGCTCTGCCGAATCAAATGTTGCAGAGACTTGCCCCTTCATCCTCCCCGTGCTTAACGGCGTAGGGATTAGGGTTAATCGCTCGGAATGACGGTTTGGCAGCCGACGTGCAATCGCCGCAACTCCAGTGACCCAGTTTCGAGTTCCTCGGGCGTGGCGCCCGGGTGGGGCCCCGGCAATGATGAACCGTGGGCACCGCGAAGCCTGTAATTGGTCTTCTACCGCAGAACCGAGCCGTCGCAGAGGCCTGCGAGCGGGCCACCGCAGCGGTCACGCCCGAACACGGTCGCCCACAATAACGACGCCAAAACACCTTGTCCTCCGCCGAGCGCGGTTCGCGAACGTCATCGCGACCCGGCGGGCACATTTCGACTTGAGGCATCGAGGTGCCGCAGGAGTTTACTCTTCGGGCAGTACCCGAAAGACAAGACGGATGTGGATCGGAGCGAAGGCCGCGATATTGCCTACACCTTTAACGGTTCCGTTCCGATGACACACGGCCTCCAGAATTTTAAATTAAATTGACTTTCTCGGTACCAAGCCTCCCCCACGAGGCAAGCCACCGTGGGGTGCGGCGGGGTCGTGTTGCGACAGGTTCTCTGCGGCGAGCAACAGCGTCTTCAGAAACAACGGCGCTACTACGCCTCCCCGAATAAAATCAGCGCCGAGCCGCTTGTGCGCGTTTCCGAGATTTGGCCGTGAACAGGCGGGGGGGGGGAGGGAACACCACCCACCCCCCGCCCTGCAACTTGCAGGACGTCTACGGTACGGCCAGAGGGTTAAAGTCGTCACACGAGCCCAAAGTTTTGCTCGGGAACATCCAAGTGGCAAAAGTAAGGGGGGTGTGGAAGGAGGGGGGGGGGGGGCAGGGAAGAAGCAACATCGACAAACTTGAGAGGCTCGCTCACGGATTCTCATCCAGTGGACATCGATTTTTCATTCATTTGGGCATTTAAGGCAACCCCCCTCCCATTCACCACCCCTCACTTCCCAATTATTTTCCCTTTCTCCACCCCCCCACAACCCCCACAACCCCCACCCTTCCTCCATAGAGGCGTTATCCCAGTTAAGGAAGTGGACACACCGCAGGAGTTTATCGAAACACAAAACGTCGGTCGCTCTGCCCGCTTCGTGAAACTCCGGTGCAACAGTGTCCGCGACCCAGAGGTTCGTGGAAAATGTCTCTCTACCACAGGGGCGGGGCAAATTTTTTTTGACTCGCGGGCCACAATGGGTTCTAAAATTTGACAGAGGGGCCGGGCCAGGAACGGATGGACGGAGCGTTCGTGTGAACTAAATATAAATGGCGTGTTAAAAATCATCACGTGGCAGGATTTGCCCTTTGACAGGTAGCAAAGCGTCTCTTTTGAAAGGCAATTTAACAAATTGCACGAACGTGAACGATACAAAAACCATGTCGTAACTCCCGGTCAAAGTGCGCCATCTAATGGGGAAACGGGGGGCATTACAGGAGAAAGGTAAAATTTTATTTAATAATAATAATATTTGGACAATTTCGGTAGGCCGGATTTAAAAGCCCAATGGGCCGTACTTTGCCCATGTCTGCTCTACCACCTCCTGACGTCGCGGTTTATGCTCTGTGCCAGGGCTCCCATTGAAATGCAATCAAATTACAGTGGAAACCTTGGACCGCGAGCATAATTCGTTCCAGAAACGCGTTTGTAATCCAAAGCGCTCGTATACCAACAGCGAATTTCCACCCATGAGAAATAATTGGAAACTCGGGTGACTCGTTCCACGGCCCAAAAAATATTCACGATTAATGCAAAATACCTTTTAGTATTTTTATTATTTAAATTTAATATAAAGTAATCGACGATTTCCTTCTTAACGTCCACCGTAATCATCTTCTTCTCAGCGCCCTCCTTTTCAACATTTTTCTTCATGGGGGCCATTGTTGCAGTACAGTTACTAAAGTCACTACACTTGGACACAAAATCCAAAAATGCTTTATGCACGCACACGTGGTCACAACACTATAGTACTGCAGTAAACAGTATACACGTGGTCACAATACTATAGTACTGTAGTAAACAGTATACACGTGGTCACAACACTATAGTACTGTAGTAAACAGTATTACACGTGGTCACAACACTGTAGTACTGTAGTAAACAGTATGCACGTGGTCACAACACTATAGTACTGTAGCAAACAGTATACACGTGGTCACAACACTATAGTACTATAGTAAACAGTATACACGTGGTCACAACACTATAGTACTATAGTAAACAGTATACACGTGGTCACAACACTATAGTACTGTAGTAAACAGTATACACGTGGTCACAACACTATACTATAGTAAACAGTACACACGTGGTCACAACACTATAGTACTGTAGCAAACAGTATACATGGTCACAACACTATAGTACTATAGTAAACAGTATACGCGTGGTCACAACACTATAGTACTATAGTAAACAGTATACGCTCGCACGGATGTTGACTATACGAGTGAGGCACGGCGACTGAGAGCGAGCATGGGAGACGATTACCCACAATCCCGCAGCGAGAGAGAGAGAAGAACCATCGGCTCAGTTGTGATCACGTGACGCTCGGCAGACAAAGCCTATACGTACTGCTTGTATTGCAAGACCCCTCGCTCGTTTATCAAGTTAAAATGTATTGAAAAAATTGGCTCGTCTTGCAAAACACTCGCAGTCCAAGTTACTCGCAATCCAAGGTTTTACTGTATATATAAATACAAAACGTTGGTAACAATGATTTTATAAGAATAGGTTTAAACCCTTTCTGGCACTAAAACAGGTGTTAAGACGTTAAAACACCAAACTGAAACCCTTTTCCAAGTAATCATGTCTGCATTAACCACATACAATCGAAGGCGAATATGCGAACAAAAAAGCATGCTCTGGACAGTCTGTGCATTGTCTTTGAAACCGATTGGCCCACACCAGAGGCAGCTTTCTTTAGAGCCGAGTCTCAAGCAGGCAAGGGAGGTCCCCATGAAGCAACAATGATTGTGCATCGCATTGTGTCTGTACACCGGTGTCGACCCACGCACGTGCCCCCCCCCAAACCACTCCGACAGCCTTCCCGACAACCCCCGGGGGCAATTGGACATCCTAGTTTTAAAATAAAAAAAATCTATATTTAAAAAAAAATCGCTACGGGATCACGTCGCTCGCCTGCGGATCGTGAAGTTGTCCAGCTCCTCCTGCCCGATTGCCCAGTTCCCCGCTTTGCCCTTGACGGCACCGCCCAGCATCACGGCGCAGAGGACGACGACGTTGATCGCCGTGAAGATCTTGCTGAAGAGCGCCGACTCGCGCACGCCAACGCACAGCACGCCTGCACGCGCGACCGAGTAAGGAATAGGGGGCGAAGGTCACCGCGGGCGCCACCCCCCCCCCCCCCCAAGCACGGCGCTGTGAAGAGAGCAACCCCGGCGATCGTCCGAAACCGGGTCACGGGCCCTCCCCCTAGGTCGACTCGGCCTTCAAATGAGCGCCCGATGCGATGCGTGGTAAAACATCGCCACGAACGCGGGCCGCCCCCCACCCCCTACCCCCTACCCCCACCCCTCCGGGCGTGGTTGCTGGCCACCTAAGTGACTTTTTAAAACACGTAGTAGTAGTAGTAGTAGCAGCAGGCTTTCGCGGCCAGCATCATTCGTCAATGAAGGTTTTGGAGTTAGGTCGCGTTGTTTATAAATGTGTCGCGACCCTCCACCACCCGACACGGCCAATCGGTAAAAAAGAAATGTGTCACGCTGACAAAAGACAAAATAGTTCGCTACTTTAGCCCACCGGTGTGTTGAAGAGTGGATCCACAACATTTACAAATTGAATTTCGATTTAAAGCTTTCGCGACTGCAAGGATTCATCTTCTTTGGTTCTTTCAGTAAAGTCACGTAGAATGAGAATAAAATAATAAAATAATAAAATAAAATTCTCACGACGTTTCGGCCACAACACAAGTGGCCTTCTTCAGGTGAAAGGAACAAACCTGTCGTCAGTGTAGCTCTGTCGTCCCGACAGGTTTGTTCCTTTCACCTGAAGAAGGCCACTTGTGTCGTGGCCGAAACGTCGTGAGAATTTTATTGTGTTATTTTATTATTTTATTCTCATTCTACGTGGTGACTTTACCGAAAGAACCAAAGAAGATTTACAAATTGAGTAGTACGACGTTTCGCTGGTAATTACATCCAGCATCTTCAGGGGGCGATTTGCAGGATGCCGTCATCATTGTTGAACCCCATCAGGGTTCGAGATCAGGGGTGGGGGTGCATGCAATTACGTAATAGATCAGTAATCAGCCACTTAGCATGTGACTCACCTGCAAGGAATTGCAATGTGTTGTTGTGTATATCTTAATAATACGCTTGCAGGCTGCGCCGAGTCTACAGCTATCACAGCGATTAAACGAACCTGTGATGATGATAATGATGAAAGCGGCGAAGATGTCGGGGTATTTGGCAAGGCCCGGCAGCCCCATGGACATGTGTTCCATTAAGAAGTGAGAGATGGGATTCCCCAGGATCCCGTCGAAGTTGGCGCTCCAGGCCCGCGCGACGCTGGAAGCTCCTACAAAGGAAGGGGGAGAAGAAAAAAAAACATTTAGGAAACGAAGAATCGTATTCTTAGCTCTTTCGGTAAGGTCACGTTGAAGGGAAACAATAAAATAATAAAATATATATAAAACAATAAAAAAATTCCCACGACGTTTCGACCATAACACAAACGGTCGTCATCAGGTGTGTCGGTCTGCATTAATTTATTTATTTTGAAAACGGTGTATTTATTTATTTATAAAAAACCGTCAGCTCCACGTGCAGCGATTTGGCAGTTTATTTAGAAGGACGAGTCCATCTATGTTCTGAAAAGAGGAGGGGGGGAGACGAAAAATTTAATGTATGCTGTCTGAAAGCCACTGTTCACGCTTACAGTCGATCGAACGACGCAGATGTGCAAACCATCGCCAGGACAACGACGCTGAATTCTGGTGGGACGAGCGGCCCACTCCCGCTCAGCTACGAGTCCCGGACGCCGCCGTGCAACGGCTTACAATGTTAGAAACACAATTGCAAGCCCCGTTGCTTATTTTGTTCAAAGTGCCCTTAGCAAGAATATAAAATACTAATTTAAGAACCCGCCGACGCCCGACACAACAACAACAACAAACAACAACAAATCAAAAACAAACGACACCGTACCGTGGCGTACGAGCGCTAAACTCGCCGATTGCGATCGCTTCAAATCACTTCAACCCGGTAGAGGTTTACTGAACGACCCTTGACCACTAAAAATCCTCACCTCTTTGCCGCTGCTCATTCTCTTCCTCTTCCCTCCACCACCGCCCCCCCCCCTCCCTCGCCCCTCCACTCCTTCTCCGTCCGTCCCCCCAAAACGTTTCGCGGTCCCCAAAGCACCTTTTATCGCAGGTCACTCATTCCTGAATATCTTGCACGCAAAATCATTATAATTCTGTCACGATGACAAGTGCCTTGTGCGAAGGAGCTCGATGAATATAAAATTACATAATTAAATAAGCCTTCCCCCCCCTCCCCGATCTCCCTTCCACCTCCTTCTCCCCGCTCTCACTCTCCTCCCTCACCAAGTTCATCTTCTCCCTCACCTTCCCCCTCCCCACGTAATAGTTCACACACACACACCGCTCGCGCGCCTCCCATCGATACGCCGGCAGCAGCAGCAGCAGCAACCAGCGAGCCAGCCCAATCTCCCTCCATCTAAACTCTTCCCCTGCTCCCTCCTACGTCACGGTTCGTGCCCTGTACCAGGATCCGGCTAAGGGGGGGGGGCGGGGGCGGGGGCGGTCGGGGTTGCAAATCCGATAAGCGATTCGGCGAGCTCACCGATCACGTAGGAGAGGATGAGCGTCCACCCGGTGACAAACGCGCACAGCTCCCCCACGGCGACGTAGCTGTAGAGGTACGCCGAGCCGGTCTTGGGCACGCGTGCCCCAAACTCGGCGTAGCAAAGACCGGCGAGCACCGACGCCACGGCCGCCACCAGGAAGGAGAGCACGATGGCCGGGCCCGCGTCGTCTCGGGCGACGGCGCCGGCCAGCACGTAGACGCCGGCGCCCAGGGTGCTGCCCACGCCGAGCACCACCAGGTCGAGCGTGGAGAGGCAGCGGGAGAGCTGGGACTCCTCCGTGCCGTCGGCGTCCATGGCGCCGGATTTGCGGCGGGACAGGGTGCGAGCGAAGCGCTCCGCGGTCCGCATGGCGCCGCTCATGGTCGGCGAGGCGTCCGGTGGGGGGGGGGGAAGCTGCGCCGCACGGGGGGTGGGGGAGAGGCAAGGTCGCGGAGGAGGTCAAACGGCGGGGGCTTGTTGGATCGCAATCAGAATATTTATTTACACCGCATGGAGTAGGGGGGGGGGAGGGAGGAATCCTGCGCGCTACGAAGCTCTCTTTTCGCAGGATATTCCGGTAGGGCAAGGTCAGAACGTTAAAACAGCAAACGATACAAAAGACACAATTAGGTAGGGGTGCAAAGGAAAAGAAAAGGGGCAAACAGAAGTCACTTGCAAAAATAAAACTAATGTTTTATCTTGCAAAAGGTGAAGCCCACCGCGCTACGAGATTATTTTTCACAAGCGACCTGGCTATAGCCCGACAAAAGTGGCTTATCGCGTGTAAATGTACAGCAGCCGAGACTCTGAACGCACGTTCAGTCTAAATGTGGAGGGGAAAAACCAGAGGACTCGGAGAAAAATCCACACAACGGGCATTGTCAGGGTAGGGATCGAACCCACGGCCTCCTGCATACCAGGCGAGGTAGTTAACGTGTCTCTACCGTGATGATGAGGAGAGAGAGAGAGAGATACACACACGCAGACTCCAAATATACAGCAGGAATCGTCAAGGTAGGAATCAAACCCACGGCCTCCTGCATACCTAGCGAGGCAATTAACATCTCGCCAACACCGGTGCCACCCAGAGACTCGCGAGGCCCCCCCCAACCCCCAGAGACTCACGAGGGCTCCCCCAACTCGCGCGACGTCAGCACAAGCGAGGGGAGGCTTCCCGTCTCACCGGGAGAGCCCTGCGTTCACGCGTCACCTCGCTCCCCGGGGGGGTCCGTGCCGGGGCATCCGCCAGTGATCGCCACACGGCTCCCGAGAGCCAGACAACGACGATTCCCACGGTCCTGCCCGTCAAATGCGCCCGGCACGGCGGAATGTCCGCTACACTGCACCCAGACGGAACGTAAAGCTCCCTTGACCGAAAGGGCTTTTGGCGGGCCTGTTGTGTGAGCGTGTTACTCGAGGTCTGCTGCTCTTGGAAAATCGGCAGTGACTGGAACGGGGGGGGGGGGGGGAAGGGCGGACGCACGCTCAGGGCCTCTGCTCACGGGAGGAATCGGCGGGCGTCTCCGGCGCAGGCCGAATATTTGCAGCGCGAACCGTGCTCATTGGTCGCACGTTTACAGAAAGACGTTCAAAACTATATAAAACCGGGAGCAAGCGAAGAGGGCTTCACCATTCTGGCGAATTGCCCGATGATGCTGGATGCATTTACCAGCGAAACGTCACAGTACTCAAACTGTAAATGTTGTGGATTCGCTCTTCAACACACCGGTGGGCTAAAGTAGTGAATTATTTGTCTTTTTGTCAACGTGACACCTTTTTTTTGCCGATTGGCCGTGTCGGGTGGTGGAGGGTTACGACACATTCATAAATAAACGCGATCTAACCCAAAAACCTTTATCATGAATAATATTGGTCGCGAAAGCCTACATGTTAAACTGACTCACTAGTGTGTGTTTGTGTTAGTCCGGGGTGGGGATGGCGGTGGCGCTGCACGTGGCTGCCTCCATTCCAGCACCGCCCAGGTGGCAGCGAGGGGTTGGTGGATCGCACGGAGATGCCGCGAAACGCCCTTGGGCTTGCGCGCGCGTCACGGACGGTGCGATAATGCTGGGCTCGCCAGGAGAATGCGGTCCCGGCAGAGTGCCGACCGTTATCATTTGTCCCATCGGTATGAGAATGCCGTTTCCCTTGCACGCGTTGGGGTCGTCTCCCGTGTGCTCCGGTTTCCTCCCGCACGTAGATTAAAACGCAACTCATTCCCGCAGTGCTGTCCGATGCAGCTGCACAAATGGCGCTGCTGTCCAATAACTCGACTCAATGTTATTATTGCTCAATGTTATTATAACCCAATTTTGTTTTTTTTAGGTCGCGGCTGCTATTTCACGCAGCTTCCCACAGTCAAAACACCAGATGCATTTACGAAAATATACATGTAGATTTGAAGCTGTGTGTGTGTGTCTATGTTGTCTCTCTCTGCTTGTGTGTCTGCCTGTGCGTCTCTGTGTCTGTGTTTTAGTTCCACCCGATGACGGTTGCTTGTGTTGCAATCGAAACGTCATGTTCTATTATTTAATTTCTTTTATTTTTACACGACTTTACCGAAAGAACCAAAGGAGTATAAAGATGTAGATTATTTTTTTTTAAATGTCCTTTGAGTGGACGTCAGCCCCCCGGCACAGCCACGCAGAGCCACATTACAGCCAACAAGAACCAGTACCGGCCGGCACGCCCTGCAGCACTGCTAAGCCGCAGACGGTGGTGTGCCACCACGGGGTGTCCTCCTGGAAGAGTTGCACGTGAACACGAACCGAGGAAGGAGGGGAAGGTCCCCTCTTGCTCGAGTTTCTTCCAGACGTTCCGGTTTCTCCCACGGTTAAAACAAAAACCCCCGTAAGAACAATAAAGGCCTCCCGGGGACACGCTCTTGCCGCTCGCTGGAAACAATATCGTCTTAAAAGAGAACCCCACACAATCCCCTTTCCGCTCTCCTTGCGGCAGACACCCTTTCGCTGCGAGCCATCGCTCTACGTCCTTCGATGCATGTTGAATTTCCTTTCTCACCGTACGTAGACAACCGTGCTAAATCGGAGGCGTCTATACCCTGTACTCTGTGTACCCTGCACCCACCCTGTCAAGCTATCGGGGTAGCAGTGGGGGCATGAAATCTGGATGGATACGAATTGGCGACTACTACTACCAGATACAGTTAAAAATCTTGGATTGCGAGCATAATGCGTTCCGGAAAAGTGCTCGTAATCTAAAGCACTCGTGTACATCAAAGCGAATTTCCCCCATAAGAAACAATGGAAACTCGGACGATTCGTTCCACAACCCAAAAATACTGTATTCATATAAAAATGATTAATACAAAATACCTTTTCATATTTTTGTTATTTAAATTTAATATAAAGTTAAATCAAATTTATTATTTACATTTAATCGTGGCTGGTGTGAGGTAGACGAGAGAGAGGACAGGAGGAGGGTTATTGTATAAGAGAGAGGACAGGAGGAGGGTTATACTGGTAGGAACGAAGTTGTAAACTGAGTGTACCAGCCTGCAATAGATTAATGTGTCCGTCCGTCCGTCCCCTTTCAATACTTTAACGAAGTGAAATCTCGTGCTGTTGGGGTGTAAAAATCAAATTGCGCAAAATTCCAATGTTCCTACCAGCCCACCCTGCAGGGACCTGTTTGTATAGGACGACTTTCACTTGCAGCACAGTTACTAAAGAACAGTCACTACACTTGGACACAAAATAAAAAATGCTTTACGCACACACATGTGGTCACAACACTATAGTACTGTAAACAGTATACACGTGGTCACAACACTATAGTACTGTAGTAAACAGTATACACGTGGTCACAACACTATAGTACTGTAGTAAACAGTATACACGTGGTCACAACACTATAGTACTGTAGTATATAGTATACACGTGGTCACAACACTATAGTAAACAGTATACACGTGGTCACAACACTATAGTACTGTAGTAAATAGTATACACGTGGTCACAACACTATAGTACTGTAGTAAACAGTATACACGTGGTCACAACACTATAGTACTGTAAACAGTATACACGTGGTCACAACACTATAGTACTGTAGTAAACAGTATACACGTGGTCACAACACTATAGTACTGTAGTAAACAGTATACACGTGGTCACAACACTATAGTACTGTAGTAAACAGTATACACGTGGTCACAACACTATAGTAAACAGTATACACGTGGTCACAACACTATAGTACTATAGTAAACAGTATACACGTGGTCACAACACTATAGTACTGTAGTAAACAGTATACACGTGGTCACAACACTATAGTACTGTAGTAAACAGTATACACGTGGTCACAACACTATAGTACTGTAGTAAACAGTATACACGTGGTCACAACACTATAGTACTATAGTAAACAGTATACACGTGGTCACAACACTATAGTACTATAGTAAACAGTATACGCTCGCACGGATGTTGACTATACGAGTGAGGCACGGCGACTGAGACCTCGCATGGGAGACGATTACCCACAATCCCGCAGCGAGAGAGAGAGAGAAGAAACCATTGGCTCAGTTGTGATCACGTGACGCTCAGCAGACAAAGCCTATACGTACTGCTCGTATTGCAAGACCCCCTCCGCTCGTTTATCAAATTATCATTCGTTGCAAAAATTTGCTCGTCTTGCAAAAAACACTCGCAGACCAAGTTACTCGCAATCCAAGCTTTCACTGTAGCTCCTCAACCAAGCCTGTGTGCACGGTGACCCAAGCTCCGTATGTGCCCGTGGGGGCTGCTTGGTGCACGGTTTGTACGCGGCACGTCCGCGACGTGACGATTCGGACGCCGTTTTTCACTTGCGTCCTCCTTTGGTTAACCCCGTCCCGCAGCAAGTTCTGGGCACGGCCTTTTCGCGCAAATTATCCGTCCTCGCGATTGCTTCCGTCAGTTTGCACGCCCTCCACGCCCCGTCGTGCCCCGGCGATCGCCGGCACTCCCCAAGGCCTCGGACTGCGGTTATTCATTTGACAGAGCTTGCTCATCGCAATGGGGGGGGGGGGGGGGGGGGGGGGGGGCTCACTAATAAAGGCCGAGTCGACGAGCCTCGACGCATTCGTGGTGGATCTCAATTATGCGTTTCGCCCGTCGCCCTCCCACGGCACCTCCGATTGGCAACGGCTCCCTACGCCGCGGTGCGAAAGAAGCTCAACGTACATGCACGCCCCGCACGCAAAAAATTGGCCGAAAACGACTTCATGCGTGTAGAGGACCGCAGAGAGCTCGATACGATTTTTGGTTGAGCCCCGGCTCTCCGCCTTCCCCTCGCTCGCCTGCGGTGCCTCCTGGAGGAGGCTCCCGAGTCGAGCGTCCCCCGTCGGGAGCCGGCGAATGGTGCGCGGCGGGGTGGCGGCGCAGAGTTACGAGTTTAAAACGAGGATT